CTGAGCGATCAAGGAAAAGGGGAGAGAATGGGTCATGACCAAACAGATGTGGGACATGTACAATCACAAGATGTTCAATAAATTGTCTGTGTTTCAGACTCAGAGAAAATGCTGGCCAACATTAACTGGCCATAATGTGTATATAAAATTTCAGAAAAATAAACCAATCGAGGCACTACAATTCAGAAATTGTGCTGACCTTCCTTTAAAAAATGTAATCTTTTTAAAATATGCTTTCTTTTTTTCCATTTGATTACTGAATATCAACATGTAGAAGAATGAAAATAGATCTATATCTATCACCACTCATAAAACTCAAGTCCAAATGGGTCAAAGATCTCAACATGAAGCCAGTCATACTGAACCTCATAGAAGAGAAAGTGGGAAATACACTTCAATGCATGGGCACAGGAGACTACTTCCTAAGTATAACTCCAGCAGCACAGACACCGAGAGAAACAATTAATAAATGAGACCTCCTGAAACTGAAAAGCTTCTGTAAAGCAAAGGCCATGGTCAACAAGACAAAACGACAGCCTACAGAATGGGAAAAGATCTTCACTAATCCCACATCAGACAGAAGTCTAATCTCCAAAATATACAAAGATCTCAAGAAATTGATCTTCAAAAGAACAAATAATCCAATAAAAAATATAGTACAGACCTAACCGAGAACTCTCAACAGAGGAACCTAAAAGGCCTAAAGACACTTGAGGAAATGTTCAGCATGCTTAGTCATCAGAGAAATGCAAATCAAAACAACTCTGAGATTCCATCTTGCACCTGTAAGAATGGCTAAGATCAAAAACACTGATGACAACTTATGCTGGAGAGGTTATGTGTTAAAGGGAACACTCATGCATTGCCGGTGGGAATGTAAGCTGGTATAGCCCCTTTGGATGTCGGTGTGGCGATTTCTCAGAAAATTAGGAAACGACTTTCCTTAAGATCCAGTAATACCACTTTTGGGTATATATCCAAAGGATGCTCAATTGTTCCACAAAGACATGTGCTCAACTATGTTCATAGCAGCATTGTTTGCCATAGCCAGAACCTGGAAACAACCTAAATGTCCCTCGACCGAAAATGGATAAGGAAAATGTGGTAATTTACACAATGGAGTACTACACAGCAGAAAAAAATAACAACAGCTTGAATTTTGCAAGAAAATGGATGGAGCTAGAAAACATCATTTTGTGTGAGGTAACCTGGACCCAGAAAGACATTTATCACATGTACTCACTCATAACTAGTTTTTAAACATGAAGCAAAGAAAACCAGCCCATAAATCACAATCCCAGAGAACCTAGACAACAATGAGGACCCTAAGAGAGACATACATAGATCAAATCCACATGGGAAGTAGAAAAAGACAAGATCTCCTGAGTAAATTGGGAGTATGGGGACCTTGGGGGAGGGTTGAAAGGGGGAGGCAAGAGGCCGGGAGGGGAGCAGAAAAAAAATGTAGAGCTCAATAAAAATAAAAAAAATTAAAAAATAAAAACAAACAAAAATGTAATCTTTTGTTCTTTGAGAAATCTCTAAAATGTGTTTGTATCTTATTCACGCTCCACTTCTCTCCCTATCACCTCCTAGATCCTCACTCTTCAGTCCTACCCAGCTTCATCTTTTCTTTCCTTTAACACCTCACAGAGGCCAGTTTGTGCTAACCATGTACTCACAAGTGGGGGACCATTCACTGTGCAGGGTCAACTCATGAGGGAGCATAGCCTTAAAGAAAACTGACTCCTTGAGTTCCCCTAGATGTCATCAACCATTGCTAGCACCTCAGCTAGGGCTCATGGCTAATGAGCCCCCCGCCACGGTAACATGTTGACTGCTTTGATCTTGTATAAGTCTTGTGTGGGCTATCACAGCTGCTGTGAATTCATGAGTGTAGAAGTCCTATCATTTCCGGAACTGACTTGTCCTCTTATAAATAATAATACACTTATAATTTTTAAACAATAAATCAAAAGAACTACATTCTAAAGTTGAAATTAGTGCTTAGGCTCATGATGCATCCTTGCCATCATTTATCTTTCTTTGTTCTTCCATGTACATCATGCACTTGATATGTGTAGTTATCCGAATGTGAATATGTCGAGTGCTGAAGACAATTTTATCATCGCCTCAAGTATGATCACCTGGGCTAGATCATTTATGAAACCTTAATATTACAAGTTTTGCATACTTTTAAAAACTCAAATTCTAAGAATTTTCAGAATTGCTTAATGGATCATCCTGGGAATGACCACAGTTAGGGCAACACCATGTCACGGAAACAAAGGCACCATGTAATAATGGGTATGGAGAAAATCTGGATACACTTTTGTGCCAAGGAACTCCATGAATGTCTTAAACATTTACACCCTGTAATTGGGGGTTAGGAGAACAAACTCCCATGGAAGCTGGAGCCTTTCCTGACGGTGCAGCAGCAGTTGAAGCCTCCTCCTCTCTTTGTTGCTTCTTGCTTACATGAATAAATGCTTCCGCCCACTCACCCACTCGGGTTCCTTTGGCTTTCTTCTTTTTCCTCCCTCAACTTGTGTATTTTCTTGCATGCTGTTTTCTCATGACTACTGAATTCTGTGCTATCCACTAGCAGCATTTGCCCTTCTCGTTCTTCTTGTCACCTCTTTTGGAGGAAAACTCCCAAGTTAATGTCACGACTTTACATTATGTCTATGAATAGATCATGCAACAGCTTGTCATTGCTGCACCAGCCTCCCAGGTTGCATGTTCCCGCATATTTAACCTCTTGTTTCATTTGGAGGGGCCAAAGACTTGACAGCTTTATTTCTTAGATGCTTGCTCTGTCTCCTTGAGCAGATGCTTTCACTTTGGAGATTAGAATAACTTATCTAAGTGTTGTGAGAATTAATTAATTCTAAGACGATTTAAGGATCTGCTAATGAAAAATTCTATTGAAATGGTAATTTTTACTATTCACTCTGTCATGTATATATTCTCTTTCAGTTGTTCCCTACAAGGTCATTTAAGTGGTTACTATTAAACTCTTCTAAAGAATAAATGAAGAACTTAATTTCCTTCCTTTGCAAAATACAATCTTTGTGATCACTAAGTCATTGAAATGTGAATCTTTTGTCATATGTGTGTGTGTGTATCAATAATATTTATGCTTAGAAATAAGGGTATAGAAAATTGAAAAAGTTACAAAGTGAACTAGTTAATGCTCAGAAAAGACACTCTATTACTCAGGTACACCAAACCTGCATAACATCAACCTCAGTTGGGTTTTAGATATGAAATGTAAAACATTTCACAACACCCAAATTATTTTAGTGCAATTCCATTCAATTTTTTAGTGACTTTAAAAATAGCTATTGTACAGCAAAAAATGCCCACATTTTACTGATTAGTTTTCATGTTATATCCTTAGATATACTCTTATTCAAACCCCTTAGAACACTGTGCAATTTTGTATGAACATTTTGTAGCTTATGCTTATGTTTGCATTATTATAGTAGACAAAATAATACCTGTGATATAAAGTTATGATTGGGGTAACAGTCACAAGTCTACTAATTTTAAAAAATGGATGCTTTCGTCCAGGAACATGACAGCTACTCTAGAATAGGATTTGCTTTGAAGTACCTATCAACATCTTTGATTTGAGAACAATCCAAAGCATGGATTTGTGCTGAAACCGTCTTCTAGTTGAGGTTAATCCAAACTGAAGACTTTCTTTATAGTCTAGTTTTGGTCTAGAGTTTTCTTGTTCTACTTGAGAAAACTAGAACTACCTACACATCATGATCTATTTAATTTAGACTGAGTATGACTTTGGGGAATCTAGAAGGGCTACTAATCTTTGGGGATCTTAGAACATGCATTACCAGAATAATTCTGATTGAAAGGCTATGCAACCAATTACAGTGATTTTTCTCTAAATAGTGACTTATGCAATAATATACATTAAAACCAATGGATATTATATACATTACACATATAATAAATAAGAATACATGTTGTTTTTTAAATATATATATATATATATGTATATATATATATCTTAGCAGCAGTTTATAGCAAGACTTCAAGATGCAGGACACACACAAATTAGTACCAGGGTAATGGAATATGTTATTAGAAAATCAGATATTGATAAAGATAACTACTTGTGTAATTCTAAAACAGTGTGAATGATGCTAATTGTCAGTAACCCTCTACTTTGTTGGGAAGGAAAGAAGATGGCCTGCCATGGGGCCTTGTCCTTGTTTGACTCTTAGTATGCTTAGAATATATACTTTGAGCCGGGAGGTGGTGGCACACAGATATGTTTAATCCCAGCACTTGGTAGGTAGAGTCAGGCAGATCTCTGTGAGTTCAAGGCCCAGCCTGGTCTACAGAAGCTAGTTCCAGGACAAGCTCCCAAGCTACAGAGAAGCCTAGTCTCCAAAAACAAAACAAACCAACCAAACAAAAGAATATATGCTTTGAATACTTAACAGTTAAAGACTAACACTTATAATGGTCAACATTCTATAGGATTAAAAACAAAATATTTATTCAGAATAATAATGATCTGATATAATAATGTTTATATTCAATGTAATGGCACCACTCACAGAAACATTTCAATTTCATATTAACAGAGTCTCTAATAGGAAAGGATTTAGATTAGCTTTGAATTTGCCAGACCACCCAGTTATTATTTTATATCTGAAAATGCCCTCCATCATATCAGCGAAACCTCAGGAGGGACTGCTGTATTTTCTTTAGGTTCCACTTAAGTCCCATGGAGAGAGAATTAGGACTGATTAGTATAATTTTAAACACACTGGACTCTACCTTTTAATAACATCTTGAACCAGGAGGTTTGATGCATCACTAGGAAACCTTTAAGTTCAGAATCTTAATATGCACATATCAGAAAACCCACCAAAACTAGCACGGATCTTCCTAACACCAACATTACATGAATTGCCCTGAATGCCCTTCAAACACCAAGGAACAGGTTAATCTCCATGACTCACCTCTAGAGAACTCATGGATATCGTAGATCCAGTTTCGCTTCTTGACAGTCCTGTGTTGTCATCCAACTCGGAGGCCATGAAATTCTTCACAGCCGTGCGAGGCTCAAAGGGTAAACTCTGCATATGTTCCTGGGGTGCAAGATGCTGATCTAGGTTCATATTGAACTGGTCCATGCCAGGGGGATTCATACCGAACTCAGGATTCACTTTGTAGTGCAATAGCCTTTCATGCGGCAAGGTTTCCATGCCAATATTCATCTTGCTTTCCTCTTTCATTGATGGCTGAGTATTTACAGAGCTTCGAGGCATCACAATATAGTCACTTTCCATCATTCTCTCTTGAGGGTGGACTATGTCCATATCGGCCCCTCGTAAATTGTCATCCGTGCATAAGTACACAGTTCTCCGCAGTTCGTTGTTCTCTTTTTTCAGACACTGACTGCTCAGCTCATTCATACTCATGGGCATGTGCAGGCCCGTGGGCTGTTGGATGATGACTTTGGAAATGACATTCCCAGGCAATGTTGAATAGCTGAGCCCTTCAGGGTTCGTTCCCTTTTCTTCCTCGTCGTCATTTAGAGAGATCCTGGAGAGTGTTCCTGTTATTGTTGCTGCTCGGCAAGGACCAATATCCTTATGGAGCACTGCAAATTCGACCACAGCAGTTAATAAAAAGACAGCATTTCTTTTTATCGTTATATGGTATGATTTATCTTCCTACTAAACACCCTCTCAATAAAGCAAAAGAAAAATAATCTTTTAACAAATCATTTGTACTTGTTTCTTCATAATCCAGGTTACTGAATTTTTATTGATTCAGTTATTTATCTGATATTGATTATTGATTGTTATTGATTTTCCGATGCTGCCGTAGAGTATGAGCAGACCATAGATAAAGCATATCTGAAAACTGATTAACTGGCTTTCAAAAAGTTTCAGTGTCTTGCCTTGAAAAAAAAAACTGCATTAATTTTCAGGCAAAGGGCAGACAGCCAGAGAAGATTTGTGCCATCAATCCACTTCAAATATTTTCATAAAAATGTAGGTTTTAGTTACATTCACATAGGCCTTTCTTCTAAAGTTTTCTAGAAGCTTTGATCATTAAGACAGATTCTTGAGGGCTGAGTGTGCCCTCTTTTAATTCCAGCACTTGGGAGGCAGAAACAGACAGATCTCTGTGAATTCAAGGCCAGCCTGTTCTATATAGTGAATTCAGGACAGCCCGAGTTATATAGTGAGACTGTCTCAAAAACGAAACTGGTGTAGAATTCCCACAAAGCAAAGCAACTATAGTAGAAAATTTCATTATGTATAGCTAGCTAGAGAACACGTGTTTCTGAAAGCATAAAAATTTTCAGAATTTTGCCTATTATTGTCCAAGTTTTTAACAGAATCATAATTATGAATTAGCATAGAAGTTGAAAACCAGATTATGAATATCTTTTGCTACAATGACGAAATGAGGAAATGAAGCCTTTAAAATACTTAAAGTATTCCAAAGTATGAACCACTCAGACAGTCCCTGTTCTCTTTAGAGATGCTGTATCTGTCCTGGTACTGTTGTCTCTGTTTCCTATACATGGCACCATGTTAAATATTCATATATAGTTTGTAATGAATACACAATATGGTTGTATATTTTTTATATTTTACATTTTTATGTATAAAAATAAGAAAATACTAAGCTTTATGATGTTATTTCTAAACCTAGCATGATGGTAGTATGTAATATCAGCATTTGGGAGGCTGTGGTAGCCTTAGCTACTTATACTTTGTAAAAGCAAAAACAAGAAAAAAGTAAAACCTAAACCTCTTTAGATAATAAGATAGCAGTAAAACAATGCAAATTCTGGAAACAGTTATGAATGAAACATTAAGACATTAAGTTTGTTGACTAATGAGTAAGAGTCAAAATTGAAACATTTAAAACATTTCCAGATTCACAGAAGAATAGTTTTAGCTTTTAACTTTACACAAAAATTAACTCAAAATCAAAAGTACTAAAATATAAAGACACATTATGAGAATCATTGTTATATATTAGGGAGGTATAGATGGTTTCCCAACTTTATTAATAGATTATAAACTATAAAGGAAGCCTTGGTAATGGGTATTGATTTCATAATCTGGATTCAAGATGCATTTAGAGTTCTACAATGTGCTCTCTCTATAGGAAGTATTTGAGAATTGCAATTATTTTCATGAAGTAGCGTCCACAGTATGTGAGAGATGAGTTTGCTTCTTTGATTTGCTTAAAACGTAAACATGCCTTGATTATACGCCTCCTACATACGATAACAATGTTGAAGCAGGACCTTTGAGATTAATTAATTAAATTGTGAAAATGAAAACCAAACCACACAGAAAGCAGTCCAAAGAGTTAGTATAAGCAGATGTATACTTCAACATCCATAGAAACAATGTAAAAGTTTAAAACAGACTACTAGGAGCCCAGAACTGAGACTTTAAAATTTAGTGCAGTCAACATATGCAGAAATCTCTAGAAAGATTCTGAGGGAAGATGAGGATGAACTCAACTTAAGAGGGTATTGGCCAAAAAATGAAAACAGAGAATAAACAAATTGCAACTTGTTTTGTAATAACACGGTGGTACTATTCTGCATTGAAAAGGCTTAACCCAGACTGCAGTGCAGACTGGGAAAAAGGAATAATCTATCATCAGACAACACTGTGATGCTGAAGGGTTGGAAGCAGCAGTTCTGGGAAGAGGGTTTGTGATGAAAGTTTTCAGCACTCGCAAGGCATCTGAGTGACTCGAATGTCTTCTAAGACCCTGGCTAGTGTGACCCAGGCCCACAGTTTCTAGTCTAGAAGGCCTAGGTAGGTCTTTAAATCTGAATTTCTAGCAAGCATCAGGCAATGCACTGCTTGTTTGGGTACCACATTTTGTCAAGCAGTGGTTTGATATGAATAGTTGGAGAGGAAAAGACAAAAGTGTCTGTTCTCATTCTTCCTTCTGTCAAGAACTCTAAGGAGTAGACAAAGAGAGGCAAGGAAGCTAAATTGAGGGTGGGTGATTAGGAATTAAATAGATAACTAATCACTGAAATAACTTCAAGCCTCTGACACAGCCAAATTGTATTCTACACATGGGGAAACTTGTGCCATGGCTTGTGAATTTTAGAGATCATAAAAGATGGATAAGATTTTTTTCTATAGGAAAGGACAATTCCTACTCCTCCCACAGGCCCAAATCACAGCTGGTAGCTTACAACTGCGGTGACCATACTTCACTCAGAGTGTTTTGATTGAATTCAAGAATACAGATTAGTTTCCCATGTGACTGTGATTATGGCAAGAAATATGAGCTGACATTTGCACAGATTTTAATGGCTCTGAGTTGAATCGGAAAACAACCCGTAAGGGAGTCTGGAAGGTAGGAAGTGGGTGCCTTTCCCAAAAGAGCAGGTTCTGTAATAGCTGTCGTGACATCTAACTCCTTTCTAGACAGTTTGGAGGGAGACTTAGCAGGTACTCTATCAAATATTCACTGGCTACACAATCTCAAATAGATGCCATCCTGAAAGAAGTTAAGATGACAGTGTACAGGGATAAAGGCAGATTTTGCTTTCTTTTCTACAAAAACATACCAGAAACATAACTTTTTACATAATCTTAGGAGAATCCTTGACAGAACCCATAAAACACGGTAGGGCTTTTAGATGACAAGTTGACGCTTGTACTGAAGCATAGATCAGATGTGAATGCAGACTACATTAATACAAGTAAATAGCCAACTTGATGAAAGCTGCATGGGTATGCATATATGTGCACACTATAATTTAAATTTATTGACAAATTGGGGGCTATTTTCGGCACCAGGCCTTGGAAGATGCTATTAGAAATGAATGACGACACATGGCTGTTAAATCTGAAAGCAAAAAGCACTCAGGTTGAATTAAAGGATAATTGTTTTCAAATATTTGGGTACTCAGGTATATAACCACTTTCAATATGAGAAAAGGAAGCACAGAGAACAACAAATACAAGGTAAAATGTGGTACATTTCTGTGCGCTTTGGAAGACAAATTCCCAGCTAGTAAAAAACATCCAAAATAGAAAATACGTAATTTTTTTTTAAAAAAATTAAAATCCCTCTTCTCTAGTGAAAAATTAACCAATGCTTAGAGGACAGCTACCACTACACACACACACACACATACACACACACACACACACAATGGTAGTTTACCAGTTTAGTGGTTCATACTCTCTATATGAGAAAAACAAAGCAGCTGCAGAGAGTTGCCTTACAACTGCTCCTACTCAAGAGCATGGAGCTTTATGGCATATCTAGTGATTTCTGCTGCTATGGTGCTCTCTCAATAGTCAATTTCTTACTTCCCAGTTTTCTTCCTCTCCCCTCTCTCTATAGATCCCCGCTGGCACAGTGATTTCCACTAGATGATGCCACTATTCACCCACCCAAGTATTATGCATAGCCATTTTAAAGGATCAAAACCCACAAAATGAATTCAAAACCCTACAGATTATATTTAAAAGATCAAATTCTTCTTACCTGATCGACAAGCAATGTCTACATCCTTTTCAAAATCTGTCTGTAACAAGAAATAAGGCACAGAATCATCATTTCATGAAGACGTTAAATGTTTTAACATTAAAATTCTCTGAATGTTATATATTTATAGCTAGCCAATATTAGTTTATTGTTTTGTGCAAAAGAAGATTCTCAAGGAATAATCAGAATTTCCTAGAGAAGAAGCAGTGCATAAAACCCATGGAAAATGGCATAGTTTTGATATGGTAGCATAATACCCCATATAATATGACAGAATCTCAGCTGGAAATGGTGGTTCCAGTGGTAATTCTAGCTACTTAGGAAGATGAAGTAGGAAGATTACATGTTCAAGGCCTACCTGACCCAGAGAATGAGATCAAGGTCTGTGAGACTATGCTTGATCTAGAAGTTTAAAGGGGTGTCAATAGAGACGTAGCTCAGTTGGTAGAGGATTTGCCTGGCATGGCTGAGGTCCTGGCTTCAAACCCCAGACATGAACAAAAGCGCAAGTGGTGGCACACCCCTGTAGTCTAGCACTTGGTTCAAGATCATTCTTGGCTACCTGGTGAGGCTAGCCTAAGATACACGAGATATTGGCCCAAAATTTAAAAGAAAAAGTTAGGGCTATAACTTAGTTGCTTAGCCTGCACAGGCCATACAAAGCCTTGGTTCACTCTTCAGTACTTCCATAAACAAAACAAGAAACAGGACCAGAATTTTAAGGCAATAGCATAACTTTACTAAAGCAACCAGAAGGTACACTATTAGAAATACCTTAGAATAACTGACTTTGTTTGGTGTATGCTTCCAGTTTTCATGTGTTGCCTGCACCCTCTCAAAGGCTATTGGCTAAAGGAGGTTTCCCATCAACCTGTGATACAATATTCTTTAATACAATTATGATAATGCTTATACTGTTACAGAATTGTATTTCCTCTTCTGTAACCAATGGTGCTCAACTGCAGAGATTAAAGCTGAGGGCTAAACATCTATTCCTCTGGTCTAGGATCTTCTGGATATTGGTACCACCTTCTCCCGAATTCATATTTTAAACAAATCAGCATATTTTTTATGGTAAAATCAAATTAGCCTGTTGTAAGCAAATTTTTCAATTATATTCCCGTCCTTTTTAATATTAGTTTTTAAATTTTTATTACTGCGCTACTACTCTTATTTATTATCATCATCATATCACTATTATTGCCTTGTGTGTATAAACATGCACACATGATGAAGCACACATGTGGGGGTCAGAGGAAAACTTTGTGGTTGCGGTTTTCTCCTAAGTTGAAGTGGGTCCTGGGGATCAAATTCAGGTCAACAGGTTTGCACAACAAATGCCTTTCCCTGCTGTACCATCTGGCCAGCCCAGCTTCAATATCTTAAACAGATTTTTATGGCTATCTGGTTTTTGTAAGGAACTGATTTTGTTCCTCATCTTTTAGCTGCTAACATATTGCTTAGCCTTACTTTCTATGTTCCATACTCCAAAAATGTTAATAAGAAAACAGTTATGCTTCAGAAAGCTCATTCCTATTCAGTCTCAGTTCTGTTGATTTTGTTGTTTGGTTGGTTGCCTTGATTTGAGACAGAATCATGCCATGACCACCAGAGGACCCTTGACCTGAGGGTCCTCTTACCTCAGCCTCCCTCACAGTGCTGGCATTCCAGGAATGGATAGCTCCCAAGTTCCATTTCTGTTTTGATGACAGCAATTTTATCTCACTTCTAAAGTTTGCCAAAATGTTTATGTTTATAGCAGCCTTCACTCCAACAGAACACTGGGCTCATGTACCCATCATGGGGATGGACCCATCACTGGAGCGATTCCTTTGTTCTGTGTTTTAGACTCTTGGTGCTTTCTTTAGGCTGTATAGGGGAACCATCATTATCTGTGATCACCTTTAAAGATGCATATTTAACTGCTTGGAGTTGCAGCTCCTCTAATGATTCTATAATCTTTAACTAAGTATGAGTTAGGAGAGGGGGTATGATCAAAATTTGCTTTATTAAATTCTCCAAAATTAATAGAGAGGGGAAAAGCCCATAACACACACACAAAGATGAAAGTCCATAGTGTTCATGTGTAAAAATCATTATCTTGAATTGGATTCTAGACAAAGTAAAAAAACTTGTACCTTGTACAAAAAAACCTGTACAAAAAAAAAATGTTGTACAGGACACCACTCCAACCCCCACGAGAGTCAACAGCAGATCCTTGATTCAAAGGCAAGACAGAAATAACATTTACTAGATGTCGAAGTAAAAAGTATTTATTTTAAACATTTATTTTCTGATTTGTGTATGTGTGTGTGTGTGTGTGTGTATGCATGTAGGAATAAATGGAGGTCAGAGGAGGGAATCAAATTCCTTGGAGCTAGACTTCTAGGTACTCATGAACTATAGATGCGGGTGCTGGGAACTGAACTCCAGGTTTCTGGAAAGGCAGAAAATACTTTAACCATTAAATTATCTCTCCAGCTCATAAGGTATTAGTCTTAATGAATTAAAACCAAATTGTGATTTTATTCTATTTTATTAATAAGGAATTTGTTATATATACATATATATTTTTTCCTGAGAAAACGTGACTTAATTATCATCCAGAAGGAAAATAGAAGCTCACCATGATTTGAGCGTGCCCATTAGGAAAAGAACTTGAAGAATCGGCATTGATCGGATCCTGACAGTTTCTCAACCGGCATCTAAATGCATCTTGTACCTGTGAATAGAAAACACACATTGATTTTAATTTTTTCCTCAATAGTAACTAGATACTGTCCATATTGCTCATCAGTTATGAGAAAATGCTATCTCTGCTTGTACAGTTGTACAGTATAAGACTCATTTTGTTTCCTGGCTGGCATGGAGCTGGTTACGTAGATCAGGCTGGGACTCTAGAGAGAAGTTCACAGATACCTACTTGCATCTGTCTCCCTAATGCTGTGATTACGAGCAGCACCACCATGCCTGACATTGTTTACTTCTTGATACAACTATAGGGGTACTTGGCTAGGGTCACTGGCCAGTGCATTTATCACTTGTCATTGTCTACCAAGTGAGTGTTGGAACTCTTGAAAGAGTATCATATCCATTTTTGAGTTAATCCTTTTCATTCTTATCATACGGTGGGTTTTTCTCCTACTGTTATAAACCGCGTGCATACTGCTGTGTGTGTTGTGTGTGGCGGGGGAGAATTTGCTGTTTTGTAAGGTACACAACAGATTTGAACACTGCGAAAAATGAAATCACACAATGATCTTTTGGCTAGAATTGATTTATGATTTTTCCTTTTCTGACTCACATAAGAAACTTTGTGAAGACTATTCCTTCTCCCCCTTCATGTCTACGTCCCCAGACACAAAAACAGGAAACAACAGACCAATATAAAACAATCTCTTGACTTCTGGTTGATTGACGTAAGAAAGATCATATCTCTTGAGCTCAGTCAGACTCCCTTGATATCCCACCAGGTCCCAGATGCAGCGTAAACATCTCACAAGAGCTTCCCTAGGATGTTACATTAATTGTTTTATTACAAAAAATCTCAGCAGAGACAAAGAGCTGATAGGGGAACACCACTGGTTGTGGAACAAAAGCAACTGCTCTTTTCTGATCATGACATCTCAGCATCAGGATGCACATCCCACTTACTGTGGTCCCATCACAGGTTGTTGATGAATATGTTCACAGATGGCAACTTATCACACATCAACAGCCAGGTCATTCATTTCTTAATCCTTTGTTTGTCTAACGCCATGTGTTTGATATTCTCCTTCTCATCTACTATACTCTGTTTTACTGTTATTAAACGCATGGCTGCTGTTGTGATTTCCCTATGTTAAGTCACTATTATAGACTTCAGGGTAATCCCTTGTGGATCTTCTCTTTTGAAAAGCACAGCAATATAACATCTTGTCTCAGTTTCGATGCGAGATGTGTAGAGCATATATGTTGGCCAGGAAACACACAGGACAAAACAGAACATAATGGATCAAAACCCGAGTCCACTAATTTGTTGATTTGGGTCTGCAATGTGGACCTACGTAGTCACTATCACAAGTCTACTCTGTCAGTCCTATAGAGACCTGCACACATATCTCCTCTCGACCTAGGATTCTCTGCCTCGTCGGTAGCCAATTTCTGTGAAGTCGAACTGAGAGCAGGTGTCTTCTGACGACTTCCATTCTACAATGCTAATATTGCTAATCCCAGATTCCTCCAGAAGAACAATCAGTTCCCTAATAACATTTCCTTGGTCCAACACATCAATTAAGAGTCCAGCTGCACCAAGATCTACTCCAATTCTTTTTCCAAAGATTCCATAAAACAGGATTGAATCACAGAGAGGCAGACACACCCAGGACACAGAAAAAGACTATTTCATCATCAGTATTTTCCAGAGATGCTGTTTTAGATCAAGATATCATTATAGGTTATAAAATAATACATTAAAGATAGAAAATTGGTAATGACTTTAGTGTTTGCCTGGGTGCCATTATTTTTCTGTAATTCTTAGGTCTGTAGATGGGAACACACAATGTAAGAGTGTTTTCCTTTTAAAAATCCTACAAACCACTGTCAGAAAAACAGGTTCATGGTAAATTCTGTTTATACCCCAAGGCAACTGTTAAAGTACATTTAATAAAGAAAAATGTATAATATGTTAGGAACATTGTCTTTTGGGAGTTTGTCACATTAAGATTCTCTTCAAATCTACTTCAAAATACCAGCCTATATAAAATATGGAACAATTGTGGTAGGAATGAAAGTTGCCATGCAAACTATATCCAGGGTTCCCTGTTCTGCTTTCAGTGTCTACTTGTTTCTATTGATGTAGTTGAGAGGTGGTTTGATGGATGCCTATCTTTGTTCTGTTACAATAACAACTACATCAAAGTGTTACTATGTTGGGACATGGAATTTTGACTGACCTAAATATGTGTTCCTGGGCCCTGGTCACTCATATATTTAGCTCCAGAATAACTAATTTCCCTCCTTCGAAGAGGTGAGAGTTGTGTGCTTACACTGACAGTAGCAATGCTAAACATTAATTTCTCTGACCCTTGCTAAAGGTATTCTTTATTTCAAAGCTATGACCAAAAAGTTGTCAAGTATTTTATAACTGACATTTAAAAACATGAAAAAGCAAATTCTGTAAATTTCTCTTCCAAATCATTGTCTTGTTGATTGAAAGAAATAAAAAAGAAATCTCTTTTTCAAAACATACTTAGACACACCCAAAATCAATACTTTTGGCTGCAAAACTTCCAGGTGTGACAGAGGGCTAAGGGCACGTCTACATTGGAGAATGCCATCAGCTTTATTTTATCAGTCAACACTGTTTGCATGAGCGAGGAGATGGAAAAGCACACAAATCTCCCACTATGTTTAAGGCCATTTTAAGGTTCTTACAGGTGTCATAATTTAAGAATTAGATTCTAAGACATTTTTAGTGCACAACTCTTACAAGGATTTCCAAGGAAATTTCATTTGATTCTAAATGCTTTATTTGATTTTTTTCCTTAAAATCTGAAAATAAACGGAGGCTATCACGATGAATTGGCATTAAATATTTGCTCAACAGCATGGGAGGAAGTGATGAGACAAAACGCACAGGGCGAATCTTCTCACCCCAGAGGGGCTGACGGGAAGAGAGTATCAAAGAAAAGATCAAGGCACATGAAAGCATTGTGGTAACTGAATTTTCTAGCAGGTACACAAAGAGTTTCATCCTTAGGTAATTAATGTGAATTATACCAATGAAAAGTTGGAATTGGTTAAAATTCAAGTTGTAGACAAACATAAAAATAAAAAACAAAAAGCGAAAATAGATCGATTATTTTATGCCATAGTACGATTAAAGTTCCCCTGAATCTCCTATGCCAAGGTTACATTTACAACGATGAGCAGTAACTGTGCTTTATCTACTGTTTATGAAGAGCTAATTCCTTACTTTAGTTAACAGTTCGATTTAAAACTATTATGATTAGCTTATTGTTAGATATCATCCCTACAAATCTGAGTTTCTGCAACATTAACGTGTCAAAAACTTTCTGAAGTCTGGTAAACTCAATTTCAAATGACTCTGTGAGGGAACAATGAAATATTTAACATTAATTATGCCATACTTCATATCTGGATTATAAAATGTCTTCTCTTTGAACCATTCTGAAATAGGTCTGTCATTCTAAATGATGATCAGATGGACCTAAAAGTAAGAGGGAGTAGCAAGGGACAGATATGTCACTACCTTTAAAATATTTAGAGTACTTTAAGGATCCCTGATGGTCTGGAGCAAGATAAAGGAAAGAACAGAAGGCGACGTCTTTAAGAAAACAGTAGTTGATATCAGTGATGTCTCAACTAACTTTCAAAGCAGCTAGGGGGCTTTTAAAAATGTCTATAGACACAGTCAGTCTTTCTCAATGCACACGGTTTCCTGGATGAGATCTGAGTTCAAAGTAGCTTGCAGGGGAATGTCTAACTCCTGTCTCTCCCTCGTGGAGAGACATTTGGTTTTCTCACAGCAGCAGCAGCAGCAAGCCAAGAGCTTCTCAATTGGTCCTCGCCCCAGAGGCAGCTGGCAGAGAGTCACTGTGCAAAGTCCGTGCCAGATTTAGAGGTTTGCAGGATAGGGGCACCCAGAACCCTTGGCAGTGTTACAAATCCGCGAAGCCGCACAGAGAAGAGTTTCACAGTCTGGAAAGGTTTCTGGATTTAGCTGCTGACCTGCTCAGACCGCAAGTCTTCTCCTCTAAAATATGAGGAAGTCTTACCTCAAGCTATTCTTTGTGAATGCTTGCGATCACAAGATCATTCTAAGCCAGGAAGACACCCATTTTTTCCTTGTATTTATTTGTTATGATTTCTGGGAAGAGGGCTTTCTTACATGTCTTCTTAAGTCTTGAGTCTACAATCACATCTATTGTTTCAGACTTGAACAAATGGCACAGAGTTTTTTTCAACATAATGTATTTTATATTTAATCATTAAATGAATGAATAAGTCTCAGTTTCATAAATATTACGGCCATTGACATAAGGAGCATGAATGACTTGACATTTAAAAAATATTGCTTGACTTTTCTCCTAGTGAAAGAAAAAAAAAAAAAACCCAGGAAGGTTTGTCCTTTGCTATGCCATGAAAGGTTCAGGGTGCACTCTCAGATTCAAGAACTGATGGATCCTTATGGGGATCCCCCAATGCTGAAGGATCTACCACTTGCTATCTCAAACGTCTGTGCTTTTGACCTTCAAATTCATTTTTTATATCCCTCTTTGGGGGACGCTGAAACTTCTTTACCATCTTTCAAACACGCGGCCTGAAAATGTAACTGTACTCCTTTCATGTGCAAATGTGAGAGGAAAGAAGAATTCTGCGCTAGACACCATGCCTCACACCTTCACAGGAGGCATTTCATTCCAGCCTGGTGCCATAGCCTTTGAGACAGGCAGGAGTGCACAGAGGCTGCATAGAATAGCAAACTCACGCTTAGAGCCTGCAAGGAACTCGCCTGACATTATCGCCATAGGTGACAATAGCTGAAAAGGGAGCCATGTTTCTTGCTTAGAAAGTCCTCATTCCTGAACATCATTCTATTTCTAGCCTTTCAAATGTACTGAACAAAGCCTGGACTAGTTTAAACCAAAACAAAAAGACATTTGGAATAAAAAGGAATAACCAGATAAGTTTTAATTTTACTCCTTTTGTCGAGACACATGCACCACACCAAAATCACAGAGCTGGAAGGTGAGATCTCGGGGGTCTGAGAGGAGAGGGAAGTGGGGGCCGCTTGTCACCCTGCCAGTGTCCAGTCTTTGTTCACTGTAGGCAGCAACATGATGCTGCTCCCCAGAGTAGGGGGCATCTGGGGGGAAAACGTGACTGGAAGAATCTAGAGCAGCCACAAATCACAGTTGGGGGCTCCCTGGTAGGCACGCCAGTATAACCAGTTGGGTTTTAAGCTCCCTGTGTCTGAAGCCATGTCTTTCATCAGATGTCACACGCCTGTTAACCTCTTAGGCTTCTGTATGGACATGTGTCTGAAGATTCAGAAGGATGCAGGTGTTGACTATTTAAGTGGACCAATGAGAACCTGGGGCAGCCTTCTCTAGAAGCAGTAAGATCTACACTCCTTGTCTAACACACAGGATGTGGAGTGAGGTGAGGCTGGTGGCTTCTGGGGAAATGTTGGAAAGACCGACAGCGTGCCGTCCTCTGCTGGGCTGTGTCCAGCTGAGGCTTATGTTGTTGCCTCCTGTCATTCTCCTGCTTCAAGGCACATATTTTATTTTACTAGAAACCGAGCAAAACAATAGAATCTTTAGGTGGTTTTCTTTTGGAATTTCAAATTCAGTCTGAAAAGTATGAAGGTGCTAGTAAATGAGTTGACTGTCTCGTAATCCATGCGCTATTTATCTGTCTTCCAGGCAAAAATGTCCTAATCAAACCCTGATCCTCCCCACACTTGGCCACTTACTAACTCTATAAAATACAGTCACGGCTTTTCAGATACAAGTTGGAGTACATAGCTCTCGTCAAGACCATCACATGCTCAAACTGGAGTTGTGATATGAGGTAGGGACGGAGGAAGGAAGTGAGGGAGGGATGCAGGGCCAGAGAGAGGGAGGAAGAGGGAGAGAATACAGTTCATGTTTCTTTTAACGGTTTTCCATCAGAATTTCTTTACAGGTTTGGATGAATATTTGAGGCCTCATCTGGTGCATTCTGCCTTCATGTCAGAGCCCAGGAGAGAGAGAGAAGAGGATCTTGGCCCTGATACTAATGTTGCCGACCAGCCCCAGGATGCTTGCATAGGGTCACAACAAGATCATCCATTTTAAAAGTAAATTTTAAACACCCCCTTCTATTTAGTGAGGGCTTTATTTTAGATGATTTGGTATCACAGTCTTGTTATTTTCCCCCTCTGACATCAAGCTGCAAGATTGCCTCAGAGCCTGGCACAGCTAGAGCCAGAGATGAGAAGAATGTGCAGGGACCAAGAAAGTGGTTTCCTAGCAACAGGAACTATTCCAAAGGTTTCCTAACTCTTGTGTAGTTTCATTTCCATAGCAATGAGGAGAATAGTAAATAGTATGTGTTCTTATCTGTTCAACCCAAAGGAATTCTAATCACCAAATACAGGAAACATCTAAACTTGTATTACAAGATTCAATCTGATTGTCTAGAACACATATTACTGTCTAGATTAGGTGTAATGTTTTTTGATAAATCAGATGCCTGAATATTTTAAAACTATTTTTCTCTTTTTTGGTTTTGTCTTTTTTTACCCTTAGAAACATTTGCTAAAACAATCAAAAAGGACAAAGTTCTTGTAGAAGAAGAAACTATAGTGTAAAAAAAAATGGTATTCAAATACTAAGTTTGTCAGGTCTAAGGATCAGGAACAGGTATTTAGATACTCAGTTTTCTTTTTATCTAAATAAATAAGCGGTTTGGGCAGGTGGCCCAATGGGTAAATGTGCTTGCCTTGCAAGCAGGAGAATCTGAGTTCGAATCCCCATAGTTCAGGGGTCAGTGCCAGTGCCATTATCTTCCCCTTCTTCCTGGATTAGAAATGGTTTTTCTTTTAAAACTGAGCCCATCAAAAGCAAAATCACAACTAAAATGCACTCTCTGCATAACGCATCCTAAATGTCACCATTGCAATCGTTCATTCCTCCTCTAAGGACAAGACCATATTTCTCTCCCACAAAGACTGGGCAAGTCAATATGCATAAAAATAGCAACAACTAAAAAGAACCAAAAAAAAAGAAGAAGAAGAAAGAGGAATAAGGATATATATGCACCCAGACCCTATGAAATTACTCTGAAGACAATAGCAGAGAAATAAAATGATGAAAAAAGCAATAAAGGCAAAAACTGTGTTCTTAGGTCTCTTGTGGATTATCAGCTAAGAATTACAAATTAAGTATTTAAGAACCACACATTATAATCAGTATTTCACAAACACTATTCTACTTGTTTTGGTGTGTTTTTCTGGAAACAGTACTGATAGGAGGCACAGAGGCCATGGGAAAAGGGTGTCTTTTCTACTACACTCAGTGTTAGGACAATATGGTCACAATATGAGACAGATCCACTGACAATGTCAGGTGATACATGTGCAGATTAGAAAGACCCTTTGCCTTCAAAGAAACTTGCTGTGATGCAGTCCATGTAATGAATAAAATGGTTTAAATGATAAATTAAAAAAAAAAACCTTAGTTCTTTAGTAACAAAATTTCTTTAGGAATTCTGAAGATCACTTGCCCTTAACTGAAGTCAATGTATTTTTATCAGGGTTACAGAGTGTTTATATGATTCAATGAAAAATTAAAAAAAAAAGAATATGTTCATTTTGGTGTTAGAACTAAAGAATGCTATAATGGTTCGCTGTGAATCTGTCAATAATACAGTTATTCATTTTGAATTATCCACTGAAAAACATCAGAGAAAATGGCCATGCTTTTGCTCCTGCTAATAGGAAAAACACGTATTTACAAATTTCTTATTTAGTAGAAGCATTTGTTTTATGGTTTGACTTAATTGCACTTAAATCATGTTTTTGACAGCTAGTCCTCTAATTAGAAAGTACTGAAAAGTTCTGATTGGTATCAAGAATTTTTCTGCCAAATATTTTTTTCCCTGTAAGGAGCAAAGATTTGATAATAAGCCATCATATCTGTCACTTAAAATTCTGTTTATTCTGAGGAAAGCCTAGCAATGTCTAAAAATGAGACATGAGTTGGGCAAGTGGCTTAGTGGGTAGAGTGTTTGCCTAACATGCAAAAGCCCTGAGTTCAGGCCCTAGCACAGATAAAACTTATACAATAAGGCTACTCGATGTCATGCCTTTAAGAAAAGAGAGAGAATTCATTTAAAGGTAGAACGCTTCTCTATGCTTTCATAACTGGGGCATTCATTTCTTCTGAACATTGCATGCAGATATGTCTTGCACCTTGTTTAAAGCCTGCTAGAGTCCATCCTTAATTGAAATGGCTCTATGCCTATTAATTTAGAAGAATTCTGTTACTTAAAAATGTTAGAGGAACGTGAGGAAAAGAGATGCACATGATAGTCATAGTTGGAAAAGAATATAATCTTCATTTTCATTCAATTGCTTTTTAACCTTCATTACTTTGCTCTATAAAGAGCTCGATATTTGGGAGATTTCAGAAGTGATATTTTAGGTAGAAGTTGGTGAACAAGGTTTGACAGTTGCAAGCTACTTTAGATGTTGAAGCAGTGAAATATCCCTCCCTTGCAAGATGAAGAAGTCACACCTCATCTGTTTTCATGGCTTCGCATCATAGAATATTCTTAGACTACACCTGTGAGTTTACTGTTGACATCTGTGCCTTCCTGAAATAAGGCAGAAATACGGCTCTTCCCACCTAATAAATCAGGTCGAGGCCTTTCGTTCCCTTCACACATCGCTGTAAAACGAAGGAGTGTGTGTTTAGAAGCACGTACACTCTGTGATGTGGACAACAGAACAAGTTACTCAAACCCACTCGCTAATGTGGACTGAGAGTCGGCCAGTCTCAACATCACTCACATGGCACGGTGTCAGCTTGTTCTTTAGTCCCTACTCGTCCCCAGAGTAAACACTGAGATGACTCATAAACCTTGTCAACACTGCGTCAGTGCTTGCAAGCACTCAGGGTAATTTTCACACTGGTAGGAAAACAATATTTTAGCCATAAGCCACACAAATTTGCTGTCTCTCGCTGTCTTAGCGATGCTTGGTGCCTGTCAGGGTCTCTAATCCAGAGGAGGCTTCCATTTCTGAAAAATAACTGAAACTGTGACACAGACCAGTGCTGGGATTGCACGCCTGTAGCTCCCACGGACGATTACTGCCTGAAATGCCTTAGTATGTGAAAGCTCTGTAGATGTTGTCATAAACATCCAAATGAAGATCATTTATCTTTAGTAAACTTTCAAACACAATTTGCATGTAAAGTAAGGTTAGTCAATAACAGGACCAGGGATATGCTATATGTAGTAGCTATATTAGGAAACAGGTAAGAACTAGCAGGGTATGATGTCTACGAACAGTGTGTTTAAGACATGCCTACGTTACCCTTTCTCCCTCTAGTTTCTCCAGCCTGCCTAGCTTACTCATCTGGCTTGAATCTGTTCCTGGTTCTTGGCACTTCTAGATGTGTTCCCCTTGTACAGACCCATGTATTTCCCCCTGTCACTTTGTGGGTGTCCCAGTCTCGTGACTTCTTCCTTAGAGTTTCTTTTCTCCTTTGAATGTTAAGCAACAGTGAGTCGAGAAGATCAGTTTAGTCTGAAGAGCGAGATTGCAGCCAAAGATCCCCCGGGTTAATTAAGACGCACTTTCCCACGTTTGCTTTTCTCTTTCACAACAGACATCCGTTTCTCACCTCTCTCCGAAGAATGCAATGGACCATGACTATCACGAAGCCTTGTAATGAATCAAACACAGCAAAAAGGATTTGAAACAATATGGAACGTTTGTCTGTCATGGCCAGAACTGCGGACATCCATGTCAGAGCCAGAAGGGGCAGCACTACACAGGAGCTCCAGAGTGAGGCCCTGTTGAAAGAGAAAAGAGAGCAACATTACGTAGTTGCATGTCACGCTCCAGGCCATAACCAAACCCCCCTTCACTCTCCCAGAAAGCGTTCTTGTGTGTGGCACCAAGACTATTAACTTGGAAGCCACTAAGCAAATAACACTTGAGATTTTGACTTATCTTTTATAGACTATCCCGCAAACGTTATAAAGGTAGTTGCCCAATTATAAATACTCAAGTATTAGCAAACACAAATTTTTTTCCATCATAGCATTTTTTTTTCACATGCACATGTAAAATTTTTAACAAGAAGATGTAAATGATCGGGACTAACATGGCATTACTGGCGGTGGTGGCTGACAAAGCTGTTGTAGAAACTACTCCACACTTGGCACATTTGAGCGTCAAACCGCTATGAGGCTCACTCATCTGACTGCAAACAAACAGAACACCCACAAAAAGAACAAAAATATTGAATTGTCACCAAAAGAGTTGCAGCGGCAAGTTAGTTTTTAAATACTATTTCATGCAGAAAAGGTACACTTATCAAGGATGAATATTCTAGATCATTTTATAGATGCAGTTAAACCAGGTATTATCTCTGCAACACATTCACTTTTTAATGCTGTGGGCTCTTAGGGCATGCAAAGTATGTTTCCAGCACTTACATTACACATGGCCCTGCTCGTGTCTATAAAATACAATTGGCTAATACATTGAGTTAAACGCATGCATGTGCTTGCACCCACATACAGTAATAACTCTTTATTCAGACCCATGGTAAACAAACATGTGAGGACTCCAAGATTCAAAGATTTTCATTGTCATATGAAGAAGTTTCAAATGTTAGGAAGACTTCCAGAAATATTAACATTATGGCAAGAGATCTAAGAAAGTAAGATATGTATCATGCATATATGTATATATATATATGGTATATATGTAAAGTCTTCGAATGTGAGAGATGAAGCTTCTAACTCTACAGGTTCTTATTCTGAAATTTTTATAGCATCAATACTTGTTCAAATTATAGGATGATCTGAATACAGAGACTGATAGAATGAAAGTTACATAATAATAAAAGAGCATAAGATATATTTATAACAGTAATTAAGTTCAAAGTAAGAGATTAAAACATATAACACTTAATGATCTATGCGGGGCCAAGAATTCAGATTCAAAATATGTAGATCTTATCTATTACTTTATGGACACAAAATGAGACTAAATAGAAAACCTTTGCATGCATTTCCCTTGCAAAATTGTTCCCTGAAACATTGTGTTTATTAGTACACAAACCTCCTAGAAAACCCAAAAGAAATAGACTGAATCAAAATTCAAAACTTTCCTGTGGCTTACTTCTGCACTCCATTCCCTTGTGGTGTCAACGTCTGCTGTGTGTTTGGCATGTAAGTCTTTATGTTTATGATATAGTGGAGCTGTGTTATTTCATATAATAAGTGGGAGAGGACAGAAGGCTTGATTTATTTTCAGGGAGTACACTCATTTGTAAAGAGCTCTCAGGTGGAATAATAAAACCTGAAGTCTATCAGATTGATCGGCAGATCTCATGAGGATTAAAACAAAACCAAACAAGGGTTTGCACTGAGGCTGTAAATCACCTGCTTTCTGGATCTAACTAAGCAGAGTCTTTATCCCAGCCACACATGTGCACAAACTCGAAGTGTGGTGTGTGTTTTCCCATGTGAGTAGTTCTATGACCTTGTTGAGTTTTGTTTCCAGAGTAGTACCTAGTTGAGTTTGCTCATGGTTGCATAAATCTCTCTTATCTCCTCTCGAACACTCAGAGAACTCAGACAGATGTCCTTTTTAAAATGTCATAGATGATTGTGACAAACAAGAAGGCATGAACACAACTGCCCTAAAATACACCCAAGTCTCTTTCTTGTTAAGCTTAAACACATTATTATTAAAAAGGCATGTATTCATCATTTATTATTTATTTTATCATAGAAGATACTAGTTATTTCTCAATTTAAGAGTGCCTTTCCTCAGACTCTCATGCAAGATTGAACAACCAAAGATTATTTAATAGTAATAATAATAATAATGAGAATAATAATAATATGGTAAGCACCCAAGATACAAGTGTCTTAATCCTAAAAGCTTGATTTAAGTATGAAATTTTCTGATAAATTTAAAACAGGGTTCAAAGTACTTTTTCATCTTTCTTTGAGACTTGCAGTGGGCTAAAAGGCCTAAACATTCTTTCTTTACAGTAAACCAGTTGGGCAGCTTCAGTCTACAAATGGCAGGAGTAGCGTGAAACACCAAGGAAAATGTATTTTTCTATCGTTTATGTGATTTGTACATAAATTAATGAACCGTGGAAAACATATACTAGATTCTAAATTGAGTTCCTACCAAAGTAAAATAAACGTTTTTTGTTATTAAGAGAATTATACACTCATAAAGTTATAAGCCTAAGCGATGATGAAACACAAAGTTGACTTGTCCATAGTGTCTAATAAATACATCACCATCAGGGCACAAGACGTGGGCTGCTACCCCACTCTCCCCATGTTGTTCTGTCTGCTCTATCATTACCACAAGACTTGGAGTCCACTACTCTTGTCCTGTCTCAACTCGTTCTATTATTTTTAGGAAAAATTAGTTGACTATTTTATTGTTAATATCTAACATAGTCCATGGGGAAAAAAGCATTCTCTCCTTCACTTGAAGAAAATTCACAGAATGTGTTAAGGGTGTGCTGAGCTAATTTCCTGGATTTCAAGTAGATATGACAGAATACAGTATACAAGAAAACGCCATTGCAAAAAAACTGAGAAAATGTAATTTTTGTTTTAAGATATTCCAAAAAGATACATTACAATTTATATTGTTTTTAATTATTCCCACTTATTAATTTATATAACATATACTGTTTTTTCAATAACTCACCATTGGTTGGCATATTTTATGTATTAGAAAATGTTTAATATGGTTAAAATGTTACACAGCTTTTCAAGCTTGTTTTATTATTAATTAAACATTTATTCATTCATTTCTTTATAAATATTTATTGAGGACAAAAAATACACTTAGAAAGTTCTTAGAAGTGATTATAAAGTATAAAAAAGACAACAAATGCAGAAATAGAATAAAATGGAAGAAGGAATAATTAGGCCCTATATTTTACTTTAAATAATATAGTCTAGTTTCATAAACTACACCTTTCTTTATGTCTAGATAGACATATTTATATGTATATATTCAGCCAACCTGAAATAGCCAACTTGACAATTAGTGAAATCAATTACTAAGCCAGTCAGCATAAACCATGCTCATTGCTTTCTCAGTGCATCTGATTAAGCTCCTCTCTGAAGTCTTTATTACGCTTGTCACTGCTTCTCTGAAGTCTAAAAGTAACTTCACACATTCACTGTAGTTTTTTGAAATTTCCTTTATTCACACTTCAGATTAGAGAACAAATTTAAATCTATATACACTGGGTCTACCTTAGAATTTGTGTTTGTCAAATGCTTAAACTTGGTCGTTACCTCGTCAGCTCTCCTGTGCTCGGGACAGTGATCATAAGTCTACCTGTAGAAAGACTTTAGTACTTTGGTAGAAGTCCCCATATGAAAAGGAAGGCGCTGAATTTTTGTTGTCAGTGAAATTCATGTGACTTCTAAGAATGCCTTTAGAATTTGGGGTTTTCAATTATAATTATCATTGCTAAATATATAGATGGAGGTTAATAATTTTTAAGTTCATACGACAACAGTGGTATTTAAGTCGAGAACAGTGTAAGCCAAACTTTACACGATGCGCAAAACAAGGAAGTGTGAAAAGAAACACTGGCCACGAGTTTGAGGAATCCTCAGCCCTCTGCTGAGCTCATCTCCCTTTCTGACCTCAGTGTCTTGGATGATGAGGTCATGGTCAGGTGCATTATTCATGTTTCATTGCTCATTCCATTCATCATAAGATTCATTGCTTGTTGGATGGGGCTTGTCATTTGCTAATGTTCTTTTGAAAACATTATGCACATTACTTCATGCAACTAATTAGGCAAAAGCAATTTTCCTGTTTACTGGATGAGGAGCCAGTGCATCAGAAAGATGAAGTAACATGCCTGAAGACACGTGTACAGGTATTGCACTAAAGAGTTCTGACTTCAACTACCTCCTTTAGGAGTTGTTGATGCTGCTAGTATCAGAGTCGACTTTTTCTATGCGGGACTTAGTCCGGTCAACAGAAGAAATGGTTACTTTATTCCAGCTACAGGTGGTAAGCTAACAAAGGTAATTCTGTGAAAAGCTCACAGAAAATAGAATAGAAAACTCAGTGTCAACAAGTTGGGAAAGTTCAGAAATTAATCTGTAATGAAAAACAGTGTGCAATTTAAAAAGTGCCCCTGTGCCAGGAAAGACCCTTTTTGATTCTACTACTAGGGTTTTATGTGAACAATATTGAGGTGTTTTATTTTTTTTTATTGAAAGCTGTTAAGTTTAGTATTTTACTAGGGAAAAGAACTGTCTGAGCTCTTACTTTATAATCATCACATAAACTATAAGGACAGAAAGATCTTTAATTCATCACCAGAAAGTGATCACATATTATGACCGTTAAAAAAATCATCAAGCATTTTTTTAAAAAAAAACAATTATAAGAATATGTTTTGAATGAAGGATAGCTCACTCAGATTTCTACAAATCCTTAGAATGAGTTATTGCTGTAATCTAAAATGCTTCTATAAACCTACACAGGAGGTATGGGTTGATATTGCAATTACAGTAAAAATGGGGCAGCTGCTTTTATAGATATTGTAGATGGCAAGTGAAAATTACAAGTAACTGTTCTAGCAAATTTTAAATATATGACAAGAACAATGCTTGATATGTATCCATTTTAAGTGAAATGTTTTGTTTTGTTTTTCTGCTCTACACAATTAGCTAGAGAGGAAAGAACAAACAAATAAATCACCTTTTTTTCATTCAGTTTAGATTTTGGGGGGTCCAGTGTGAGTAAAGATTTGGGTTTTGAAATCCCTTATCTCAGAACAGCAATCAAGACTTAGTGTGAGATCTTAAGAGATGGGCAAGCAATGTACATACCCCATATCCTTTTAATGGTCTGATTTATTGCTTCTATTTAATACATAATATCAGAGAATCCCGAAATGGCAGAATCTACAGACATATTAGCACATCAAGAGCAGAGTTTAAGGCCCAGACCCACATAAGTGACAACCCGGACCTGGACTACGGGATTTACTTGTAAAGAACCTTCAATATCCACCAATGGCAGCTTACCCGGCTCTGTGTTTGAGCTTTTTATCTAGGATTCCATCTCTGGAAACAAGTTTATTAAATACCAAAATGCCAATCACCATGTTGACCTGTCAAATAGAAACAAAGTTGACCTTTCAATGATACTGAAGGGGATCAGGACCCTGCTTCTCCAGTAAACAAATCTTAACCCCCTATGGAGGGGCAGGACTCTGAAGAGTGACATGAATGACCTCTTAAGAGTGTAAGGAGCACCTGAACCGAGTTGCATGCTGCTAACATTTAGAGTCCACCAAACGCATCTAATTTCCAGGGTTTGCAGTTTAACATGGCAAAATTAACCTTCGATTGCCCAGCTTTCAAAAGGCACCGAACCCCCCATCAATCTGGTCTTATTCTTTCTAGGGAAACTGCATAAAACAATGGACTAAATGAGTTTCCTTCCCTACTTTAAAGCCAAAGCATTTTAAATCTCCCAGCAAGGGGCTGGGCTGAGCCTAGGCAGGTAAAGGGACTGAGGGTTTTCCGCTGCTACTAGCAGAGAAGACAGAATGGCGAGATAGTCTCTGCAGCTGTGTTGTGGCGATTCTCTCCCAGGTTTGGGGACTTTCTGATCTACTCTTTCCTAAGAAAGAAAAGCCTAGTCAATCTCCAGATTCCTTCAGAGGATGGAGACTGCCGCTAATTCTTAAAATACGCTCTCCTGAACACATCTTCTCAACTTCTTTCAAAGACTCCTTAGTCTCACTTACATGGCCTTTTGTAAAACACTAATGACAAGAAATCAGTAAGAAAATGTTCTGCTGATAGAAGGCTGAAATCTGTCCACTTGCTGGTCTGAGAAAGATTCCAAACCTGTCTGTTAATGAGTGATTTAGGAGAAGTCACTCTTAGTGTCTGGGAAATATGCCACTCATCAGAAGAAAGTACCTTGTACTTCATTTTACTTGAACTAAGAGAAAATATAAGTTCTGGGGATTCTATTAATTCACAACTTCAAACGTGGGAGAATTAATGACCAGTAGAGAGCCATCATATTGGTGTTTCAATTAAATACATACTGGCTATTTCTTCATTGTAGGGTTATATGTATGTTAACCCAGCAGCTTAGGAAAATAACTTACTTGATTTAATAAAAATCCAATGCAACAGACAAAAGTGTTCCTAGTAGTTTCAAGTTCCCTATACTTTTCTGTAACACTCATGTCTTCAGTGTTGTGGTTAGGTTTTGTTTCTTTCTTGTAAACTATGGGCAATTTTTGTTCCCTGTTATAGCTTTAAAGAATGAACACTCTTTAAAAGAGGAAGCCTAAAATAGTGTTACTAAGAAAGACTTTTCCAGTGTCCAATTTATTGAATGAGCCATTCAAAGAACTGAAAGGTAATTATCTAGCAAATAGCCTAATTGAACAGTGATATGTGTCTTTGTATTTAATATATCTTTTCTTTCCTCCTTCATTTTCATCAAAATGATAAGTGAGTATAAGAGAGAATGAGAGGGACAGAGGTCAGGCAGGAGAGAGAGAGACAATGGAAAGAGGGTAGAAAATTTTACATCTTATAATGTTTAAAATTGGGAAACTACTTTGTTATTCTAAAAAGAAAATTATTAAAGTCTTTGTACTTAACAGCTACTGGTGGTTTTAACTTGGAATAATATTGACCCACCAGAAATATCTGGAGATGTGGTAGGCAAAGGGAAGGATGCTACTGAACATACTAGAATACACAGGACTGGCTGTGGAACAATGGCATATCCATTCTAAAATGTTTGTAAAACTGAGTTTGTGAAACTGACATGTATGTATGTATGTATGTATGTATGTATATGTATGTATACATATAGATGGATAGATGATAGGTAAAGATATTTGGGAGTGGCAGTCTTGATTAACCACCCTATTCATATATAAATACATTACACAAGATAATATAGAGGTTTAATGATATGAAGGGTAGGATTTTATATATTGTAGAGGAATGATTTATTGAAGTTCACTTGAGCTTCTTCACATATCTGAAATCACTGTAGGAGGATTTCCACTCTCCCAAGTTGAATAACCGTCAGTACTTACATATGAATATTTTACAGTAATATAAGATAGAAAGCAATTGATATTAAAATTGATGTAGGAAGTAGTTGGGCTTTAAAGTTTCTACCCACCAAATGCTTTATCAAAATCACCACTCTAAATGAGCCCCTGTAATCTTTCTGCGTGGCTAATCCATCAAGTAAGTGAGGTTCAGAGTTTACCAGGACAACAGCGGCTGCAGGTCCAACGAAGGCATAGAGCAGTCCTCCTTCAAGTGACAGCCAGCAGCTAAAATAGCATTAGAGAAAACTAACAGAAATCAGTGATAAGCATCAGGCCACTGGATTGTGATGCAAACAGCATCATCATCATCGGCTAGGATTTGACCTTGCAGTGTTGGCGTATTTCAAAGATTTATAGCGTAATACTTAGAAGCCATAGAAAAAGTAGGATTAGAGCATTTCATGAGGAGGAAACACTACCTATACCCTCACTACTGGCCTTTAGTTTGAGGCAGTTAAAATACTTTAGACAAATTATTTGTATATCGCAATTTCTACTTTTATTGCTTGCAAAGAGATTATCCCAACAAACGTTGCTTTACCTCCTTGGTTGACTCTTTCTGAGGGACTTCAAAAGAGTAACAGCGTGTTTACAAAATCTTCCTTCAGGCCACTGAGATACTGGGAGAAAGTGACTTAAAAGATATCGAGGAAGGAAATAGATAACTCATATTTGCATGTGTGTGTGTGTGTGTGTGTGTGTGTGTGTGTGTGTGTGTGTGTGTTTTCTTTTTTCCTTTAATTTTACTGTTTCCCTGACTACCAAAAACATTCTCTGGAATAAGTTTGTGAATTAGAATGAGTGCAGCTGTGTTTCTCCCATTTACTAATGTCACCAAGAGATGTAGGTTTGCAGGGACAGTGACGGAACTCTTTCGGGGGCGGGGCAGGGAGACACTCATGCTCTGAATCAAAAGGAAATGAACAGGTCAGAGGGCACAGCACTGGGAGTTTGCAGACGGAGCATGTGCAGTTGCCCACAGCCCAGGCAGTGCTGAGGAAAGAGTGGGGGACTGTATCTCACAGCTGGTGCGGAGCCAGGCCAGTACTCATGCAACTATGTTCTGCTATTTGTCCCTTTCACCGATCAGTCCATGCAGCCAGTGAGCTGCCTTCAAAAGTTACAGTATGTAATGGTGACTGCACTGTGCTTCTTCTAACAATAATCTGCTCTATTATTATTGAGCGTGTGGTTCCACAAATCATGCATTTGCCAAAACCACAGAAAATAATATATTGAAGAGCATAAATGTGACTAAGTTATAGCTTAATTAAAATTTTAATCTAGTAGTGATATACACATACAAAACCAGTGTATACACTGACAAACATATGTATATTTGTTTAAAGAGAACACGTGGCTTGGCAAGCTTTTGAATTTTATAAACTTGAAAGTGGGACCCATAAACACTAGTAAGGTGTTTTATGAATCCTTGATTTATACCAAAACAATTACTTTAATAGAAAAAGTAATAACAAAGCAATTATGTTATAGTAGTCCTTAAATTAACACAGCATTTTATTTCAGTGATATTGATTGAATGAGAGAAAATCAAGAATCCCCACACGAGGAGTTTTCCCAGCTCTAAGATGGAGTCTTTGTTTGGGATTGGCAGGTGAAGTGATGTTTTCTATGCTCATAATTTGGTGAGTACACGTGGCTTAATTACCAGTAATTCCTAATTTACACCTGGAAACAATTACAGAATGTCACGTTGTATTGTTTATTTATTTAGTAATATGTACACTCTCCATTTCTCAACTACATCCTCAATATGAAAACCAGTGTCGTAAACTATGAAAGTGTATTGCTTCAAATTAGAAACGTTAAAGTTAATCTTTACCATAAATTGTTTCTTGGACTTTACGAGCATCACAGGCATAAGATGGACCGTCATACCCCGTTCTAATTCTTCCATAGTCTAGGCATCTTCTACTATGGAATCTGTCTCCTGACCAATCAATTGCAGTGTAATACCATCCAATAACAACAAAACATGAATTATTAATAGCTAATGATAATAGACCTGAACATCAATGATGTCTGTAACTGGGGGAAGAGTCACATCCTAAAACATAATAGAAAAATAACATCAAGTTTTTGCCAGTCCCAACAGAGAGTATTTAAGTTTTGACATGTATAGTACATGTTGTTGTATCTTTAAAGGTAAATATTTTGGTCTTAGGAAGAATTAGAAACAGGAATGAGGATTCTAAATAGTTACATCACTTTCTTTACTCTTACACGTAGAGTCACCTTCCGGCATTGTTAATGACTCAGGGACAAAGTGAATGGCATTAGGAGGCAAGACAAATAAAACCTGTTTGGTAACTTCCTTAATTATCAACATGGTTAGCACTATGGATGGACTTACTAGTGATCCGTGCCATATCCTTTCGTCCTGGTGAAGCCTACAGATGTGGCTACTACTAAAGCTGGCAGTCCTGCAAAAAAGCAAGGCGACATTTCATTTTCAGGTGACGTTTCCTCTTCAGCCACAGCCACTTGTGGGCACTTGCTCAGGACAGGCCTGGCCAAACTTCAGATACTCAGACCGCAGCAACTACTGTCGGAAGAGTCACCTCGCAATGGATGTTTGTATTGCAAACTTTCAAGTGTGAGACTACAAGAGACAGGTGGGGTTTTAACTTAGCGCACTGCCCTGGTGTTGCTAGGTTACCACTGCATTTGACACGGTTTTAAAGGGAAGTAATAACACAGACTTAGTATATCTTTTAAGTTATTTTTTCCCTAAGGGTTTGCATTGTTATAAAGAAAATTTATAGTTAAAAAAAGCCAGAAAGGCAGAAAACAGGATGCCCTGGTGTGATGGCTTGTTGTATGTGTGGAATATTCAGCTGGCCACATATTGATCCATATCAAGTTTAACTTATAATAAGAGCCCCAAAATAATTTTCTCACTTAATACTTTCTTTTCAATTTACTCATAACAGTAAACAGGAACAGAGAACTCGGTTACCTAAAAATCTAAGCCAGTTTTGACCCTAAGACTTCCTTTACCGCTTATATAAACATATTTGGACATGCAGCATAAGACAAACATGTTTATCCTTTCAGTTAAAACAAAACCCCCCAATTAATCATCCTCTAGGTTTGCCCTTCTGCCTATCTTCCCATACTTCTTGCTATTTTCTTTCTCCTGGAAGTGTACTCTACTGACAGTGCGTATATTCACCAGCTTTAAAGACAAGAACTGTGGGAGGCATGCCAAGGGATGTCACCACGTTTACACTCATAAGATAAATTATGAGTATGGACATCTTTGTCTCCTTCCTTTGCCTCACACTCACCCTGCGTGTTATCTGTTGACTGAATATTGTGGTTGAATGGATGGAGTTCATTAGAAGCAATCAAGCAAACATGTATACCCTAACAATACCTAAGGAGTTAGTAATCTTAATTTCATATAAATTGGACTTCCTTTGTTTGCTAAATTGATTGTGGCGCTTTTCTCTTCACTGATATTCTATACAACTCTTTGCCGTTCAGAAAATATTGATATTACCTGTAACTTTGCAACTTTTCAACCCCTTTCTTCAAGATCCTTAGTAGCAATATTAGATAAAGGACACTGTTGGTTACAGGCAAGGAAATCATTCTTTAAGAAAGAGCTTCCTGCATTTGTCGTTTCTTCCTTTGACCTATGGTCCTAATTCACAACCAAAATGACCCTTGGTTCAATACTGCCATCATTTAAGAAGATCTTTGTCACAGAATCTAGACAAAAATCTTACCAAACTCTAAGTAGAACATATTCTTCAACTATCCCTTTGCTTCTAGAAAGAGTCCTAACACATCAACTAAATATGAATACACCTGTGCTGAATGCTGGCAGATAAACGTTAAGTGCTTTTGATCCTGTGTTTCAGGATGCATTATTCTGGTCTTGTAGTAAGTTCACTAGTTCCGAATTGCCCAGATTCCTTTTTAACGCCCTGTTCTCACTGTCTGCTATAACAGCGGCAGGATGTGAGCAAATGTGCGCACGTGGATGAGTGCGTACATGTATGTCTATGTGTGTACTCATGTATAGTTGTCTCAGTGTGGGGATTTTAACACTCAAATACAGACATGAAAAATCCTGTCCTTTTTTCTAAAACTAGATTTTTAAAAAATTAACTATGCTTTCATTCAAGCTGGTCCCATGAAATCACTGATTGCTGAGATGTCTATGCCATGAAGCAATTGGAAATGTACCCCAATAATGATGGGCAGTGAATTAATTAATTCCTACCGTTGAGAAGTTCCTTAACTACATGTAAACTTTCCTTGCCTCTCTGACGGTTCCTTTCTCTTCCCCTGGGCTTCTTTTTTAACAGTATGGAGATTTTTTTTTAATAGAACACACAGAGGTTTCCTAGGGTTTGCTATATGTCCTGATTTGGGTTCTCAAACAATTCAAAGCATTTTGCATTTTCAGAAAATATCAGCAGGGAACATATTGTCTTTCTAACTTAGGTAGGTCAGGTCTCAAAATACACCATGTAGGTACACTGAGTGTTTACTAGCTAAAATCTTTGAAAATTATCCCCTTATAAAGTTCCAAATGACCCCATGGATGTTTACAAAAGGGCTTCTCTCACGTTTTTCCACTTCATGTTTCAAGGTAGATACCTTAGTAACGTGGCTACAACCACTCTTTACTCTTTTCTGATGTCCCTCCCAGTGTCACATCAGCAAAACATGAGAAGTATCTGCTTACCCCATCCAAGGCACAGAAAGCGTTTCCGAATAAGCCGCGTCCTGATTTTTCCGGTTACAGCCATATATGACTGCCACGCTTCTGTCAAAACCCAACAGAATGAAGCCAGGAAGAAAAAATGCAAGAATGCAGTGGTGGTCGCACAGATGCTCTGCGGAGACAGAAGGAAGCACATGCTCAACCTGGGCAGGAACCTGTGACTCAGAGGACTGAACTTCTCCTTCCCTCCAGACCCATCATTTCTTCCAGCACAGATGAAAAGACCTCCTACTGTGTCGTCTACACGGCCTTGAGCTTGTCATCCTCCTGCCTCAGCCTCTTGAGTTCTATGATTACAGGGTTCTGTGACTACTTTCCACTTGAAGAGGCTAAGTTCTGATGGATTTTTGCTTTGCATAAAAGCAGAACTATTTACAGAAACTAGAACCCTTACTGGCTCTAGCCTCTATACTGTATACAATATGTGCAGCACAAAAATACGTGTCCTAATTCCATTTATGTTCTCAGTTTCTTTAATGAGGAGAACCCACACCATGCACTTAAACTCAAGGAAAATTAAAATTACTGCTTTAGTTGATTTTTTTAAAAAATAAAATTATAAAAATGGCACTTTCTTTAGTTTAAGATGCAGACACCATGTATAATTGCTTTGGTTCCATTCTTTATCTCTCTTATTTAACCAGGGATTCTTCTTTTTTTGTTTTATCTGTGTTGATGTAAAGATTATACTGGAAGTCTCAACAGCTTTTCAAAAGAAAGAAAAAAACACTTTGCTTTTATATGCCTGTGATCCCCAAGTTATAACAGTAAAATACAACATAAGGGTTGGCCAATAGTCTAGAGCCAAGGTAGGTTGCATTGTAAAGTATTTAGTAGCTGCATTTGACGCTGCTGTATTGCCCTGCCTGTCTTAATCAAGTAATTTTGAAAAGCTAATTGAGTCACTGGCAGTACACAGTTATGATTTCATAGATATTTGTCTTTGTGCAATCTAATCATCCTAAATGTGTGGGCCATTAGCAATGCCTCGTCTACCAATGACCAGCAGCTTCATTTTAGGAAAAGTTGTGACTTATTTCCCTATTGGTACAACTTCTTTGTGTATATCTTGTTGTAATACAACTCCTCATAAAGCAGAGCCAGCAACAGAATCAATTTCTTTCTTCGTCAGTCAGCCATTCCAGAAATTGAAAATAGACAAAGGTGTTAGGCCACTAATTAGACATTAGCAGGCTTGAAGGCACTAGAGATGGCCTCCTCCCTCATAGTCAATGAAGTATAAAACAAGAATCAGGAAGTGCAGGGCTCTAGCACTGGTCAGAGAAGGGCATCCTGACCTGGATTTCCGTCTCAGGGAAGAGAGCGGATGTCTTGAACTGCTTAATTGATAACTGGTTCCTTGGGGTCCCGACTTTATCAAAGACAAACTACTGCCCCTTTCTTTAAGAGTCTGTGCGATTTGGCCTGCAGTCACTGGGGAGGAAAGTTGTGTGTTCCAGGGATTTTAAGAATTGTATAAAGCACACATTGGTTGTTGTTGTTGTTCATGGGTTATATTTGCCAAGCTGTAGTAACATAACTTCTAAATGACAACTTTCATACAGAGCAATTTTCAAGTGACTGCCATTATTTTCCATAAATGCTGCAAGTTCCCACAAGCACCATTATTCTGATGTGCAAGGATTCAGATTCTTTAATCTCTTTTCCCCATACGCTCTGCAGATCAAATGCTTTCTAAGTCTCCGCAGAATGAGGCTTTTACCCCTGCTAAACCTCAAACTCCAGCACCTCTTTCAGGTTCCTATGCCGGCACCTTTTCAACCATTGCAATCACCTGACCCACCGCAGTGACTCGGGCCACAAAGCCCTCTCTTTGTTCCCTCTCTCAGTCTGCGCTCAACTCCCATGATAGGCAGGTCCTCATACATCGCAATCCCAGATTTATGACTCACTAGCTCCTCAAGTTCGTCAAAGACATTTGTTTTCCCGGCCTTGACAAATTCGGCTCTACTCTTGAACTGTCGCAGACGATGAGGGCTATTACATCACAAAAATCAAAAGCAGATTTAATTTAGTAAATTGAATTTTTTATACTGTTATTTTTTTTTTGATGTGTAGCCTTTACCCCCAATTCTTAGGAATAGTAGTAAGTGTTTTCTGAAGGCAATTGACGTAAACATATGACTTCTAATGAACCAGAAGCTGCGAGTAATCCTAGATTTAAAAAAACCAAACCAAACCAAACCAAAACTAGATAAATCACACTGCAGGTTGGTATTCCAGCCCTGTGCTGGGTGTCTGGATAAGGACAACACAGGAAGAAGAAAAAGGGTGACAATATGTAAATGTCAAGGAAGGCCAAACATCGGTACAATAGTACTTCTTGAACAGAGCAATAAAGAAAATGAAAGAAAGACAGCATTTAGGGACTCTCATGGAAGAATTCTTCAGAACTGAATGCAAACTTGGCTACGGGGTAGATTAAACAGGAAAGACACACATACACACACCAACAAACACACATTCCTAAATGCATGGCCGTGAAATTGTCAACATCTGGAATGAGACTAAAATTTAAAAGTGCTCAAAATTGAAATAATGATAACTTACAAAGGAGCAAGAATCAGGGGGATATTAAATTTCTTGTGAGCCAACCGGGATCCAAGAAGACAGTGAAAAAGTGTCCTTGTTCTAATGAAAGAGAACTTTGAAGTTAGAAGTCTACACCTAGCCAAACTATTATCCAAGTGACAGGCAGAGATATATTTTTAGAATTGATAGGGACTTTGAAGTTTATTATTTTAAGGTTCTCTCTGAAAGAATTTCTAGGCAATATAAACCACCAATAATGACTTCAAGAGGAGAGAATGGGATAAGTGATAGATAGCAAACAAAAGCAATAAAATATATTGAATCTAAATAAAATTTTATTTACTATATTTCATATAATCTTAAAAATACAGCTATCTAGATATAGAATTCAAAAATAATACCAGTGAGGGTCAAAAGGGAAGAGACATGAGAACTACAAGGAAGCAGAGAAAAATAAAAACATGCCAAACCTCTGTTTTCCCCTTCTGGCATGTTGGAGAGATTGAGTGACGTATGATAGATATATTTGGACATTTATGATAACCCTGATAAATTAAGGTAGTCATTATAAAGTAGAAATACTATATTTAGTGGTTAACAAAAGAAAAATAAAAGAGACATCAATAAATTCAATTAAAGGTAAAGAAAAAGGAAATAAACAGAATTCCGATACATAGGAAAATGTTTCCAAAAATAGCATAAATCACAATAGCTTTAAACTCACTTAGAAAAGAAAAGTAAAACAAAACAACCTTTAATACTTGATTTAAGAAATCTATTTTAGAAATGGTTATGTGAGAAAGTACCAAAACCACAGACACAGAAAGATGGGACTAAAAGCTAAAAAGACCTATAGTAAGCAAAGGCAGATATCCTGAATCAGATGGTACCGTGGTCATATCAGAAATAAAAATAAAAATAAAAAACAAACAAACCAGTAAGTGAGATGAAGAGAGAATTCCATGCTGGTATAAGGAGCAAGCCACGGCAAATGATTACAAGTAGCGTGGCCTCAGAGACCATAATGACTCTTCACAAGCTATCAAACAAACTCCGAGGCAGCAGAAGGAAAGCAGATTCTAAGAAAGGACTCAGGATGCAGTTGTCAGTCCAGACAAGTGCAGGATACAGTAAGTACAGGGCACCGTGGGTCCTTATAACTGCTGGGTCCTCACAACTGCTGCCCTTCTCATAATTGGATGCTGCTCTTTCTTGTCTTTGTGGTGTGGTCTCACTTGCTATGTAACTGATGAAGCAGACAAAGCAAATGGGTTACTATCATCATATCTCCAGCCTGAAGCTTCTCCCTAGCCCAAAGCAAATTCTCTCCTTCCGTTACACACTGCAATAGGGCAAGCAGGAGTTTCACCTCTAGAAACACACACTGCCTGTTTTACTTGCAGAAATTTCTGGAATGCTTCTTTCCTAGCTGAGAATTGAAGAAAAGAAAATCCACCTCATAAAATGACATCATACAAACTGGTGTGACAGTGGATGTCACTAATCTCACCACTCAGGAAGCAGAGGCAGGCAGATGTTTGAGTTTGAGGCCACTTTGGTCTACAGAGCAAGTTCCAGGACAGGGAGGCTACACAGAGAAAGCCTGTCTCAAAAAATAAACAAACAAACCAACAAACTCAACATTATACATGTAGAAAATTTGAGACAAAGCAAGTATTATTTTGGGGCAGGGAAAGGTAAATTTAAATTACTGTATCATGAAATGTAGTACAGCTTAATATATTTTACAAGTATATATGTTTATTGACAACAGATAAAGCCTGACATACTGTGATTGAATTCACCCACAAAGCTAAAAACACATCAAAATGTCGAAGGTTCTAAGAGTAACTTCTGTTTTTTTCATCAGAAATAGTAACTATACTTAATTACACATGAGTTAACTACAGTCTCCTTTAGCTAGCATGTCTGTATAACATTTTCACCTATAAACAAATGTCCTGAAAGACCTCTTTTAAGTCAGACAAAGCTCCTTTTTGCAATTTTTGTTTTCTCTTTGTTTTCAATAGTGGTCAAATTTCTTGATAGGTTACGAAACACATCAAGTTCCTTATTACTTGTTTCTTACTGATGCCTGGAATCTCCTTCCAATTTGTTTCCACAGAAATCCTGGTTTCCAGTGCTAAAAAATGGAATTATTAAAACCTTGAACCTCTATAATCTTACACAAAACTGCAGCTTTTAAAAACATGGTCTTTAAATTTTTCTGTGTCTTGAAAGTCCTGGAATACTGTAAGGCATCTAATTAAAGATCTCGACAGTTGACTTATTTCCTGTTGAGTTAGTTTCGGGAATTTGTGTTTTCCAAGGGAGTTATCCATGTCATGTGCATTTTAATCTGTTAGAATATGATTTTATATCAGAAATGAAAAGGGGACATAACAACAGACATGGAGGAAATCCAGAGAATCATCAGGTCATATTTCGAAAATCTGTACTCCACAAAATTGAAAAACTTAAAGGAAATGGAAAACTTTCTGGATAAATATCACTTACCAAAATTAAATCAAGACCAGATAAGCAAATTAAATAGACTTG